CAAGAATTATTAGATAAAATTCAAAGACTTGAAAGTGAAGTTGAACAGTTAAAGAGACAGCAGACTCAACTAACTGCACAAATTGAACTTAAAGAAACTAAAAAATGACCTCGATTGAAAATAAAAAGTAATTAAAAATTAACAAAGTTGAAAAAAAAGTAATTATTTGTTTTAGTTTTTTATTCTGCCGGTTTTCTTTTTTTTCTTGATTCTTTACTAGAATTCTCTAATACTCTTTTGAAAACTGATAAATTTCATAGGTAATCCTTTCTTTGTCTAAATATGTTTTGCAAAGATTTGGTATCTGCTAATTTAAAAATGTGAAGAGCAATTTTTTCACCTTGTTCTTTCTTCAAAATACTTCTGATAGCACTATAATTCTTGGGTTCCATAGTAGATCTGATATAAATTAGTTTCATATTAACTATTTTTATATAGAGGTAATTCTATATATCACCTAATATTAAGAGGATAACAAATGGAAGGTTTTAATAATCACATTACTAAATTTTGATCCCTGAAATTTTTGGTAATACCAATGTTCACTTTGTCTGGTTTTGTTGCAGTATGCCCCAATTTACAATCGATTAAATAATCAAAAAATCAGAAAAAAATCAAGTGTATGAGTGAAATAATATAATAATAATAATGGCAGTAGTAACAACAACAACAATAATAGTACAGTAATATTTGAAACAGCTTTAATTTACAAATCCATACTCCAATATACATATTAATATACACATTCTAAATGTTATAAGCATAATGACAATCATAATGGGAATGCTTACTATTTTAGCCAAGAAATATTTGACAATTCCTTCTTTGTCAGTTCCTTCGGAAACATTTTTCTCTGATGCGGGACAACAAATTACTTTGTTACGAAATAGACTCAGCTCACAGTCTGTTGATCATGTTCTTTTCTTGAAAAATTTGTTACCCATCAAAGAATAACAATTTTAAAATTTATATTGTAAATAAAACAAGATTTATTGAAGTGACGTCCAATTGTGATTTGGGCATGTGAACTAGTTATTAATATGTAAAAAGTTAACTCATAAGCATAAAACAATCAAAAGCTACTACTACTGCAATGTAAAATCGATTATGAAAAATTACTGAACATACCTGATAAAATGCTTTTGTAAGCAGAAAATTATTTCGAATTGTTGTTAATTTCATTTGACAAAATTGACGAAACGTGGTAATGTGACAAAATAAATTTACAGAAATGTCAGATGATATATTCAATTTGTTAAGTGCTAACTCAAGTTATTATGAAGTTAATAAAATTGACAGTTGCTTATTATCAGAAAACAGAGGTGATGATTTAGAGCAAGAATATTATAGTATTACAATCATTTTGGAAATAATATTGAAAATATTATCACAAATGAAGATGATAATAATTCTCAGAAAAAATCTATTATATATATACACAGAATTTTGTGAAATTATATCGTCTCTTTTCACTTTTCATCATATTTCTTCTTTTGTCAACTTTC